TATTTATTTATTTTATATGAGACTTTTTGGTTAAAATAGTTGTTTCAATGAAATTACCTCATTCTATTTGAATTTAAATTTAATAAAATTTATTTTTAATTTAATGATTTAATATCTTTTTATTTATCAATTGATAATTAATTAATTAATAAATAAAAAAATATTAACAAATTAGTTACTTCCTATGCCAAATAATAATGAATTAATTTATTTATTCTTTCATTCGTTTTTTCACTCTATTGAGCTATCTAATTAGAATTAATCGTAAATTTTACATGCTAATTGTATAATTTTATAAAATAAGAATTTAATATAAAATGAGTGAAAATAAAGAAAGAAATAAATAAATAAATAAATATTGAAGTAAAAGGTTTAAATAAATATATAAATGAATGAAAATAATTAGATAAACAAACAAATAAAGAAATAAATAAATAAATTTACTTCCTATTTTATCATATTGAAAATGAGTGATGCTTTAAATTATTTAGAATCAATCAATCTTAGTATCAAATGTAATTAAACCAAATGAATTAATTGATTAATGAAGAATAAATTAACTACTGCCTATTTTTTATTTATTTATTTTTTTATGTAAAATTATTTTGGAATGCTTTTTTATGCTTTATAAATATTTTACAGACTATTTATTTTGAGTATAAATTTCATAGAGAATCGTTAAAGCAATTTATAAATTTTCTATCAATGAATAAATAACTCATTTAAATAATTACTCTCCTCTATAAATAAAAAATATAATTTATATTCATCCAAAAATATCTTTCAAAATTATTACGTCACATCTCTATTCATTAAATTAAAGATCAAAGTGTGTTAGTTAATTAGTTAGTTAGTAATTTAGTTAATTATTTTGTTTTTTTAATTAATTAATAAATTAATAAGTTAATCAAGCTATTTTTTAGAAAATCATCCAAAATTATTACTCGCTATTAAAATATTAAGTTTATTTATCATTTTTTAAATTAATTTACTCAAAAAATATTACTTCCTATTTTATTTTAAATTTTATTGAGTATTTGTCTATCTATCTATCAGTTTGTTTGTTTGTTTGTTTGTTTGTTTGTTTATTTGTCTTTCTTTATGTATTTATGTATGTATGTATATCTGTATTTCTTTCTGTCTTTCAATTTATCTATATCTATCAAAAATTCTCAAAATATTACTTGCTATTTTTGATAAAGAATGGATTTATTTTGGTGATTGGAATTAATATTAATTATATTTACATCCTATTTTTATTAGAGTTGATCCATATTTAAAATAAATAAATAATCTTCTTTAATTACCATCTATTTATGTTTAAAAATAATTTAAATAAGTAGCTAAGTAATTTCGTTAATAAATCAATAATATAATTAATTTATGAAAAAATTACCCGCTTTTTGAAATAAAAAATTAATTTAATTCTCTGCTTATGACTAATAACTAAAATAGTTTACATGCTATTTGATATTATAATATATTTTTAAAATTTAATTTATTTACTCAAAAATATATATTACATTCTATTTTAAATAAATATGATGCTACTTAATCAGAATCTTCAATCAAACATAATTGAAAACATTAATTACTTCCTATATCGAATTTGAATTTAAAATAAATATTATAACTAAAATTTATTATATTATATTTATTATTACTTTCTATTTACAAATATGATTTTTTTTGATAAAAGCATGATTTAAAAATAGTTTGAATCTATCTATTACTCCCTAATTTTCATTTTAAATTAATTAATTAATTAATTAATTAATTAACTTATTAATTCCAAACTATTCTTATTTTAATTATTTATCCTTTCATCCATTAATCTATTAATCAAGTTAGATAGCTTACTAGTTAAATAACTAAATAACTAATTAATTTATTAGCTAACTTATTAACAAGCTAACTAACTAACTAACTAAGTAAATAAGTAAGTAAGTAAGTATGTTAGTAATAAACTAAGGGAATGAATATATAAATAGAGAAATATTATTCGAATTTATTACTGGCTAAGTTGATTGTAAATAAAATAAACTTTGTATCTGAATTTTCTATCTAGCAAAAAGACAGTTTCTAAAAATGTTACTTGCTATTCATTTATTTATTTATTAATTTTGGTATTTATTTATTAAAGACTATTTATTTATTGGTAGAGTTTCATCAAATGTAAATAAAATCTTTAAAAATGAGTGATTGATTAATTAATTAATAAATTAATTACTAACTATTTATTTTTTAATAATAAAAGTTATATAAAATTTTATTATTAAAAAATATCTTTTAATATTGATTACACCCTATTTTTATATGAACATTTTTTTAGCATAGATAAATCCTTTAATATAACTAAAAGCTTCAAGAATATTCATTCATTAATTAATTACTCACTATTTTTAATATAGAAATAAATAAATAAATTCAGCATGCATATTTAGATCTAAATAAAATTGTTCATGAAATTTAACAAACTAATTAATTAATTACTGTTTGCTGTATTGAATATTAAAATATCAGAATGCAACTTAGAATATAGAATTCTACAACAATATTAATTAATTACTGTCTATTTTTTAAATAAAAGTAAATTAAATATTATTTTTCAATTTAACTAAAATAAATCAAAATATTAATTTATTATTTGTTATTTTTAAAAATAAATAAAATGAATCTAACATCTTTTTTTAAATCTAAATAAAAGGCTTCAAGAATATTAATTAATTAATATATTACAGACTATTTTGAATATGTCAAAATAAATTGAGTATTATTTTTATTCTAATTGAGCATAAATTAATTCATTACGCTCTATTTTGAAAATTAAAATATATTCATTAAGTAAGTAAGCAATCATGGAAGTAAGTATATAGATTTGTATATTTATCTTAATCTAAATAAAATGCTTCAAGAATATTTATTAATTAATTACCCCCTATTTTTAATTGAAAAATAAATTAAATATAGATTTATTTTTTAATCTAACTAAAATTTTTAAAGAATATGAATGAATGACTGGCTATTTTAAATTAGAAAACAAATTCATCAGGAACCTTTAATCTTACTGAAATTCTTCAATCAAATAAATAAAAGAATTACACCCTATTTTTAAAATTAAATATAAATTGAGCATGCATTTAAAAATCTAAATAAAATAGTTTGAAGAATGTAAATTAAAATAATAAATAAATTACCAACTATTTAGAATATGAAAATGAATAAATAAATAAGTTCCCATGTTTATTTAAATCAAAAAAAAAGCGATGATTTTTTCTTTAATAAATAAGTAATTAATTATTACATCCTATTTTTAATTAAAAGATAACTAATTATTTTAAATTCTGAGTAAGTAGATTGATTAATTGAAAAGTTGAAAATTAGCTAATAATTTACAGACTAT